GATACTTTCGCAAATCCGCGTGTAACTCCGCGATTCTTGCGAGGATTTTAATTGAATTCCGCGAAAAAAATGAAATTAAACGTTCGTCATGGTAATCAATTGCCAGAAAATAAAAATGTATTCACTTTTTCCTTCTTTTATTCTCGTTTTTTTAATCCTTTAATCTCTTGTAAAATAAATAAAAAACTTTTCACTAAAATCGAAACTTTTGTAAAAAATGACAAACATAACCTATTAGAATAAAAAAATTAAATGTATACACATTGTCATTTGATAAACAGATATATTGTTTCAAAACGAAATTTCATCTGTAAAATATTAAATTTCTTTAATTTTTTTCATGAATCAATTGTGCTTTAACAATCGGAATTTTCAGTTTATAGGATTAAACATTGAACCATTCCGTTTGATGTATCTACGAATCTGCGCGAGAGTTTGAAATAGAGTTTAATGGAAATGTTTGGTAAATAGACGCAAGAGAAATTATACGGAATGTTATTCGTGCAAACTATGCAAATTTTTCCCGAATCGAAAATGTGAAAAATTTAATAATATTTAATTGTCTTTCATTGAGTAACAATAACGATGAATTAATTTATTTTTAATTGATTTATTAATATTGAGCATTTAATATTACGAAAAAATTGCATTAATTTAAGTGGCCACGCAATTTCATAACGAAAATATAATACTATAAGTGAACTCAAAACGAAGCAATCTGCTTTTTTGAAGATTTATCCTTATATTTTCTTATGGACAATACGTAAAACACGAATATGAAAATTCGATACTAGGGAAATACGTGAAACATGAAAATAGGGATTTTAATAATCCCTATTTATTAATCGTAAGATCCGATTCGAAGTAAGGATAATATTAAATTGATTCAAAATTTGGTTTTAATTTTATGAAATATCATATTATATTATATAACATATAAATTGTTTTTAACAATTCATAAAATTAAATTATTATCAAAAAAGAAAAAAATAAAAAGTTACTAAAATAATAATGGCATTTTTACAAATACTATAGTTATATTTAAATAAAAAGTTATTTCGAAATCTTTTTATATTCTTTCTCGAAAAAATGTTTAAACAATAAACATTTTTTTTTCCACGAATACATGTCAAATATTTTCATTCTTTATTTTCTCTTTGATTAGAAAAAAATAATATTAATTTTGTTCTCGTTTAATTATTCTCATTAAAAATTTAATTGTGTAAAAAAGATAATATTTAAATTAATAATTTTGAATAACATTGTGCATAATTAATGGAATAAATAATTAAATTATATTATTTCAAACGAAACGAAATATCTAAATGTATTTGAAAAACCTATAATTTACGATATTATAACATTTAGAAGTTTATGTTCAACAAATATTGTTCAACAAGTATTCGATAAATAAATTGATTAGTTAAACTTTAAGCATTCCAATTTTACTTCAGTTAAGGATATTTTTTTCGCTTGAATTTTACTAAAAATGATTAAAAATGATTCGTTAAAAAAATTCCTAGGTAATTATATTTTTTATTCTTTATGTTTCAATAAATAAAATAATGATTTTAAAAAAATTACTATAATAGCCTTCAAAATATCTAACTTTGTAATCTGAAGTAAAAAGATAAAAAGAAATAAAAAGAATATAGTCGAAAAAGATCATCGGTACTATCATTTATTATATTTTTCGTTTAGTGGCGGGATATTCAAACTCTTAATAATGCACATTATCTTGTCAATCGAATTATTAAAAACTTATACATAAAAAAAAAAAAAGAAATTCTTGCTTTAAAAATGATATTTCATAATTATACAATAATAATTAGTACTTACCGACACGATGATAAGTAACGAAGATACTAAGTCGATTTCTCTTTGAAGACAATAGTGGATTCTTGGTGACAAGTGGTATCGTATAAGAGAAGAATCCGTTACTATATAATTGTAGACACCGTACTCGCGAATTGTCTGTTGGTAGATATTACGTGCAACGACCTCCGTGATTCGTTTCTTGTGCTATACGATAGGTGCACCTGTTTGCGTGTCACTTAACCGTCATATATATATGCACGAAAAAACCCGAGAATTTTCCGCGAATCGAACGCGTATTTATTACTTTCGTATTGATATATAATCACGTTATTAGATTTTTAAAACATTAAATAAATGATAAATTGAGATAATAAAGAAATTACACAACGCAAACGACACCGAACCTGCCGCGTTCAAAGTCGAAGCGATACTGCGAGGCTCGTAGCGACCCGGCGTCCCCTTCCACCATCGACCCGGAGCGCAATAACCAATCAGTGTTTTCGATTCTCTAACGTTTAAACTTCTTCCGTTAGATCCATGAAAGGCCGATATGAGTTATGTGAGGGGGTGGAAAGCACTTTTGGCGGTCTCACGTGTTGCTTCGCTGTAAACATCGATGATTTGGACTTAATTCAATTATCCAAACGTAACGAAATGATGTCCGAATTCTTGTGTCGATGTAAATATAATCGATCGTGGTATATAACGAGAAGGATTCTTTGTAGTTCGTAAATAAAAGTATATTACACAATGGAAAAAAGAAGAATAAACTATGGCAGCCATAATGACGTGTAAGTAACGAAATTAAATTTAGAATTATATTATATATTTATATATTAATATTTAATAATAACACTATTTATATTTAATATTGTTTTCTTTAAATATATAATATATATGATAAAAAGAGAAATAAAAATAGTGTTCGATAATTTATTGCAAATATAAGGTTATGTATTCGTATTATTTTATTTCGAAATCAATTTTTTTTTTTAAATATAACGAAACATTTATATTTATAGAAATGTTTAATATTTGGGAATTCAAATTTTATAAATAATGTTATAGAATTCATCTTGTTAATTAAATATTGATTAATATATCAAATAAAATGAAATATGAATTAAATTATATGTACATTAGTTAAATATAAAATATTAATAATGTATGTAATTATATAATTCATATTTTGAATTGTTTAAAATTTCTAAATTTAAATAATTAGATACTAAAATTAATTAGGTATTAAAAAAATTAAATATTAATTTTTAATAAATATATAAAATATTAAAATTTTCTTAATATTATATACAGATGAATATATAATCTTTAATAAATTATAAATCATTCATTTAAATGTATAATAAAATAACAAGATTTTTTAACTAAAATAAAACGAAAAATTTTTTACTTTTTGATAATAAAATCTTAAGAAATTTTTTAATTAAAGTTTAAAGAATTAAAATTTCTTTGATAATGTGATAATTAATAGTTTCATAATGGGTAATGCGCAAAAGTTTCTAAAACAACAGAATATAATTAGCATTTCCTAAGAAATTATCTCTTGCCACAGATTTTACTTATGTTTATTATTGTAGTCTTTTTATTATCCTATCTTTTAACAAGAAATATTCTTGAATTTTTATTAGATATACATTCCTTAATGTCGTTTAATTTATTAATTAATATTTAAATTAATCTTTCTAAATTTCTATGCAAAAAATTTTAATCTAAAATTAATTAATAAAATAAAATATTCAAAATACTTCACGATTTATATTTTAATGTAAAAACTATGCATATAAATTTCATTAATTAAAATAAATAAGATTAAATAAGTAATAATTTAGTATTAAGTTTATTAAATGTTATATTAAAGATTTAATATTGAAAATATCAAAAATTATCGCTTATTATTAAGATTTAGATAGATAAATATCATTAATATTTTATGATATCATTTATTAATGTATATTTAATGGCAATCTAGTGGATATTGAGTTATAACTTTGATGGACGTGACTTGTGTCCTTGATGAATTTCGATAAGTTGATTCGAGCAAAGTCATGAAGTTCCTTATGCTAATATTCCTACAAACTTGTTACTTTGCTATAGTAGCATCTGTAGAGTTTAACCTCACTAATGAGGTTATGTTAGTTGCAGAATTTTAATTGCAATGAACAATATAATTATATATATATATATATATATATAAATAATTTTTATATCAGTTGTTAAGCATATTTCTGAAAATTGAGCATTGCATTTTTTTATTGTAATATTTTAAATACATATAATAGAAGAAAAAAATTTAATTGATTTGCTTAATATACTTTACTTTTTAATAAATTATTTTTTTTTTAAACATCATATTTTTTTAAATGAAAAATTAAATTTTAAATTATATTCTCTATATATTATAAATAGAAAGGCTCGTTGAGAATTACATGAAGACAATTTTTGTTATTTCGTCATGTTAACTTGTTACGGAAGTTATTTCACGTACCGCTTTTAAATTTAACGCAAACAAAATGCATTTCTGTTTTGATAACAAATAATAAATAATTCATAACAACTGTAAAAATGAAATAAAAAGTCATTATTTATTTAAAAAATGTAAGTTTAATTTAAAAAATATTTAAAATATTTTTTTTCTTTATATTTTAAAAGATTTATAAGTTTGTTATTCGAGAAGAAAATTTCAATAACCATGTATTTAAGAAATTAAATAAAATACCGAGATATTATTATTATCTTTAACAAGTTTCTGGTTTTAAATAACTTTAAACATTTCTATATTTCATAATTTAATAAAACGAATTTCATAATATTTTATTTCTATGATATTGTTAATATGATTTTGTATTCATCTTACAGTTCTTTCTTTGATTGATTTTTAAATCTCTTTCTTATATTGTCTCTGATATACAGAATAGTGATCCTCAGAACAAAGAAAAGAACATACATGCTTTTGAAATTGGAAATAAGAATAATTTAGATACGATCGTTTAATCTCTTCATTACGATATTTATAATCTCTTGTAAAAAAGAAAAAATATTCCCTATATTTTTATTTCATATTTTATTCACTTTTTTTTTTATATGTTATATAATTATGTAAAAATACATTGTAAGATTCTTTGATAATTTTTAAATAGAATTTTATTTATTTACAGTTTATTTTTTTACAGTTATTTTTTTTTAATAATAAAATTGGAATGAATTACTATGGAATATGACTATAATGATACAATGATTAAGGAAAATTGAAGAATAATTAATAAGATCTGTTCTTTCGATAATCAGAACTACAGTTTCGAATAAACGATATAGCAAAACTATGATTTATACAAAGTGAAATCTACTTCGTAAGTACTTTAATTCTAGTAATGTCAAATGCATTTATAATAAATGCACTATATTAAAAAAAATTTCGATGAAAAATTTTTTAATCTCTGAATCTAAAAAAGAGAGGGAATTTATAATTTAAAATAATTTGATTAAATTTTTAACAATGAAAGTAAAAATTATGTAAAAATTATTTTTATATCTATATAAAAATAAT